ACAGAGAACGCTGGAGAGAAACAACTAGTTATTCTGATGAGTGCTCATTTCTATATCACTCTCTCGCGCTCTATTTACACTTGATATCGTCCGCAATTAGTTGAGGCAGTACAGGAGGAATGGAAGGAGCCCACCGACGGGAGACGGGCGAAGAGAATCGTGAATTGCCGCTTCCGTCGAGTGCGGCAATGGGCGCGACGTTTCTATAAGTTGTACTTTCCTTTCGGCTTTCATGTAGACAAGGACGCAGACACTTATGTCTATTTTTGGTCATACATTGTCTATTCTCGACCAATACCACCTAAAATCGTCGTCATTAGCGGGCGCGACGTCGCACGCGACGCCCACTAACGCGGCGAATTACGATTCTCTTGCCACATACCCCCTACCGACGCTCTAAAGGCATGTGCGAAACTGGAGCTGAGCCACCTCTTTGCTTGCGGCCCTCAGCAGTATTTCTCATATCTTCTATTTTTCAACAGAGTGAATGATTTTCATTTTCAGTATTTTTCTTCCTACCACTAGTGCTGTTTTCATTCTGAATAGATCACAAACTGATCACTATTGGTAGAAAACGCAGCTGGAGGCGGGGCCATTTCGCGCTTTTTGACACTGCCCCGACTGTTTGCGACGACACCTTTATTGCCCCACTCCTCTGAAATCGAGGCAGATATTTATAGGTTTCTCTCTCTCCGAGGGTAGATTTGGCTTGAAATTTATCCACGAGCCTACTCTGACCTCCTGAATACTAAAACACATCTGTTTGAAACGAAAACGCGTGCAACCCGCAGCACAGGTGTCTGCGCCGAAACACCTCAAGTTTGCTGAAACCTGCCATAGGGCATGTTTGACCCCTGAGTACAAATGTCACATTCGTTCGTCACGAAACTGCCTGGCGCCACAGGCACCAGCCCTGAAAGGACTCTTTGGAGGTGGAGCTTCTAGTTCATGTGTCTGGTTTCTTGCTAACCATAAGTGGATTTAGTATTACTGCCTAGGGGGTGGAATTACCTTCGGACGCTTATATACAAATCTGCATTTCCGAAGTTTCAGCATTTCGACTGCGCTTCTCGATGTACTAATTTGTCTCCAGCAAGTTTTGCCCTGCTAGGTGGGTGAGTTGACACAAATGGTGGGTGTGCCTCAGAGTGAAAGGGCGAACCTTGTGTACTTTTTAGACCCCCAGCCCTCGCTCACGTTTCCTGTACAAGTTACACCACTGAAGATGGCTGCACCCTCAGGTCGAGGCCCATGGGCCCAAATCCAAAGCGGTCTCGTACGTCCCCCTCAGGTCTGCACAAGTGAATCCCTGAACAAATTTGCTTTATTGGATTTCGTGTTATAAATTAAAATTCAAAAATTGTGGCAATGATTCTTTTAATAACGTAGCAAAAATGGGAACAGATAAAAGCGAGACTTTATAAAAAAATGACATGAGGATAACGAATTATTCAAACACCTCACGCGCGTACACCAAAAGATCTCACGAAGAAAAGGGACTCGTAGCATACCGTAATCAACAGCGTTTTTGCCCAGTGAATACAATCCTATATGTCCCAGAGAAGTTTCACTAAACAATTCATGGATTCGTAGTGTAAAGTTACTTTTTAACTTTTAATAGGTGAAACAAAACTCTCTGACAAACCGATAACGACTGAACAATATAATTAGCACGAACGAACTGTGTAGGAATTGTAATACCAAAGATCAGGAGCATGAGTTTGTTTGTAAATCACTGACAACGAACAATAACAGAATAATTACCCACTGGTGCTCACTCATAGCTACGGTGATCTGATATCGATCGATAGAAGAAAGATTTCGTACTCTACTCTGTGTGATAATCAAACAATAACGACTCAAAAAGAAAATGTGGCGCAGCGGCGACGGAGAAGGGGGGGGGGCTATCACGGGCTTTAGCTGCTTCACTTTCGATCAGTCAACAAGTCTCACCCTGGTGAAACCTGTGAGCTCTTGTGAAGCTGGAACAAGCTCGCCGAGCCAGTGCGAGTTAACCGGTACTCCTCACAAGGGTTGGCAGGTTACGCGGGCTTCACAGGATTTCACAGGTCTCTACTTCATGGCAGGAGACGTCTACAGAAAGTAGCCAAAGTGCAAACTGTCCCCTTCCACCCTCCCTCCCCCCTCGTCGCCAAACTACGCCGGATATACTTGTTATGTGGCCAAATCGCGACCGCCTATATAGACTATTTCATCATAAAAAGCACAGTTAGAATGTTCGTATGCAGTAAAAAAAAGAACTGGACAAGACCACGAACAGAAGAACGACGAGAAAGAACCTGTACCGCAAAATGTAAACACCATGCAGCCACAAAATAAACGAGTGCCTACGACCGTAATAAGATGGTGAAAGGTTTCGCATTCAAATACACCATATCGAAAAAGAGATAGAAAACTCGCTCCAAAGCGAACATCAGAACCATCAGATTCCTTGGCCAGAAGCGATTTGCTGCGCGTATATCAGCCGATAAACTGAATACAACCGCGATTGCGAACAAAGGCAACGAAATACCGTAGTTCAGCGTGAGGTAGAGCAATCGGTTGAAATCGATCACTAATCGCATCGCAACCATGAAAACGCTTAAAAGGAGTAAACTATTAAGTTCACTCCTAGATGAAACAATCAAAATACTTACATGATTCCTTCATCAGATTCCTAATGTGCTAATTTTACCCAATGTAGACCCTATGGAAGTCGTTCGCGCCAAAACCGGCGTTACACTTCGGACACTTTCGTTGCCTTGTGTCATACCTAGAAATAAAAGGATAATAAACAGCCTAAGGCAGCGGTCAGACTTCGCACGGCATCGTTTCGGTCGCGTGAACCACTCCGTCTAATTCGGTCGCGTTCCAATGCCAAAAGTGGATGGACGCTGGTAGTTCAACGACTCGTTTGTTTCTCCTTTTTCGTACGCGCGACTGAAACGCTGGCGTCCCGAAGTATGAACATTACCTACAAGTTGATAGAGACTACTGAGGCAGCGTTCAGACTTCGCAATGACGCGCGTCGACGCGCTATCATTGTAGAAGCGCTCCAAAGCTGAGGGCGACGCAGGCATGGACGGGTATCGATTGGCACCCCGATACTCTTCGAGAAAGTATAGGATAGTAGTGTTGCCTCACCACACAATCTGGTATCGAACGGTGCCAACCGCTTATGTTTTGGTAGTATAAAAGACTAGAACAGTAACAGGCAGTAGGCAACGCAAACCCTCCCATGGCCCTATAATCTCCCAAAACACTCGAGAGCCGATCGACACTCGTCCATGGTTACGTTCCCCATTTAGAGTTAGAGTGCTTTTGCAATGGGTGAGCTTTGACGCGCGTCATCACGAAGTCTGAACGCTTCATAAAAAAACCAAGCGAAGAACCAGCGTCGGAGAAGGACTAACCTCGTTTTGAGAGCATTTTCATCAGAATTACATTCGGAAGCATTAGTCTGAAGTATCGCATCTTTACCGGTTGACCTGCACGTATGGAATTCAGTACATCCTAAAAATACAAAAATTTGCCGCGTCAGCTCGAGGGGCACTTTGCACTTTCTCGGCTTCAGTTGCCAATTCCTGTTAAAATGCAGGCAACAGTTTGATAAGACCTGTAAATTCTTGTCAGGAGTAAAGAAGGTGCTTTCATTGCAAATCTTCACAAGAATTTACAAGTCCTCGCGCGAGGCATCAGCAGGGATCGATGAGAACCCGCAAAGTGCCCCTCCAAGCCGAACTGTGCCCAAGCAGTCTTTCCTAACTAAAAACAGCAACAGAGAACAAGCTAACTTTTGACTAACAAGAGAAAATCGACTTCGTGACTATGCAAATTCGTGTCAACTTCACTTGAAATGAGCTTGATGAATGAACGAACTCACCTTGAGTTCTCGGATTTCTTCCATCAATACCGCATCTGTACTGCCTAGCTTCTCGCTCTTCTTCGCTCGTTCCAGACGCTTTCGAAGCGTTGAATTCTCCTCTTCTAATCGACGTTTCCGCTGATCAATTACCTCGAGTTGTAGTGTCTTCGATGCGACAACCTTAAATTTGTTCATTTTCAATAAAAATTATGCAATATGCAAAATTATTTCATCAGAAGTATTTGTTTACGAACCTCTTGAATATCTCTCAGTTGCGCCCCGATTTTTTCACTACGTGTCCCCAAATCAGCAGTATTCAGCGACTGCTCAGTGAGTTGCTTTCTCAACGCTTCAATCATACGGTTTTGACGTCTAAAAGCAACGAATGTCAAAAGTTATAAAAAAAACCACTATCCCTTCGTACTTCTCAATAAAACTTGAAAGATAAAAGAAATATTTTAAACTCTTATAAAGTGTAGACGGAACTCTAACTATTGATGCTCCAAAAGAGTTTACATGTAAGCAAGCATTAGAGAGATCGGCAGTGATCGAACGCTGCAGCTATCACCTTAGGGTTCGTTAGCGATATTAACTTGCCAGCTCGAAACACTTCTCGAGAGCTGATAAACTAAAGTTCATATGCAAGTAAAAAGTTAAGATCGAAGTTGCTCTAGGGCGGTGGGGGGAGGCGGAGGGGGGCTAGCGTGAATGTTAAGAAGTGTGATCGAAAAAAAGAAATACGGGTTGAAGTCGATCACCTGAGATGGAACCTTCAACCAAACCCGTGATTGTAAAGAACACGGACACCAATCAGGTTACGTCGTACACTGGGGATCCCCAGCAAAGGGAGAGGTCGTATATGGTTGCTGGAGGAGAGGTCCCTCTCTCCTTCCGCTCGACGGTGGATGAGAGTTGAAGACTTTTGGGAAGAACAACGAAAAGTGGCAGGGACAAGTGAAAATTTAAGATAGTAGCTTGGATGCTCCCGTTTAAGGTAAACATCTAAAAAAATTTAAGCCAATGATAGGTTTCGCGAGGGAATGGGAAGGT